ATATAAAATTATATTAAAAATAATAAAAAATTATCATAAATCATTTTCCAATTACATGTCCCTTTGTGTTCGTTTGATTAGGAAGAGAATAGCAATTGGGACTTGAAAAGCAATAATTCAGTACGTCTTAACAATATACCAACAAATCTCCCCAAAAAACAAAATCTTCAAAATATGCTTTTCAATAATTACACATGCACCATATGAATAGAGAAGTGGTTTTTTTTTTTTTAATTAAAACAAAAAAATGTTAATGTAAATAACAACAATCTTTAGGTGTGGATCTAGAGTCTTCCAATATAAATATGAAACCCTATTCATTGGAATGTGAAATTACTCTCTCTGTTTTGATTTTATTTTAATTTAACTTTTACATAAAAATTAATAAAAATTACATATAAAAAGAAAACAAATTTAATTGTTATTTATTTATTATTTAAAATTATCAAATTAATTTATGTAAAATTGATAAACTATGAGAACTAAAAAAGACCAAAAAAATACAATATAAGATTATAATTGTTGAACTAACATTCTCTCCATTAATTATAATTGGAAATGTGCATCACCTTACTTATAAATCCTTTGAACCAAATAAGCCGTTTCAAATGTGAACATCCTAAAAAACAAGAGAAAAAAATACAGATAAAGATGTTAATTTTCCTATTCTTTTTTTAAGATGTAAATTTTATTGGTTTTTAATTAAAGTAGTAAATTTTTAATTTTCTTTGTTTAATGATATTGATTTTGTCTCTTTTTATTTAAAAATGCTAATTATATTTTTTTATTTAAAAATATCAACTTTACATTTGTCATATCACTCTCTAATTAATCATTAAATAGATAAAAAGATAAAGTAACATTTTTAAATAAAAAAATTAAAAATTTATTGGTTTTTAATTAAAGTAGTAAATTTTTAATTTTCTTTGTTTAATGATATTGATTTTGTCTCTTTTTATTTAAAAATGCTAATTATACTCTTTTTTTTTATTTAAAAATATCAACTTTACATTTGTCATATCAATATTACTCTCTAATTAATCATTAAATAGATAAAAAGATAAAGTAACATTTTTAAATAAAAAA